TCTTTCTTACCCCGTTTTCTCTGTGCAGATGTTAGCAAGTATAATTTTTTGGTATCTGGTGAAGTCCAAGTTTCTAGAAGTCTAGAGAGGCAACATTGCTTAATGGGTAGGGGCAGGGATCCTTAAACTTGATTGCTGGGAATTCCCTGGTGGTCTAGTGGATAGGATGTAGCCTTTCACTTCCAAGGGCATGGGTTTGATCCCTGGTCAGGTGAACTAAGATGCTTCAAGACATGTAGTGTGGCAAAAACAAAAAGAGAAAACATTGGCTTTTTTTTTTTTTTTTTTAAAAAAAAAAAAAACAGATATACCTCACTTGATTCCTGGGGCCAGATCCTGGCTCGGCCAACTTCTCACTTGTATTAGGGGCTTCGTCAGTTCCCTGGGCCCTGGTGTCCCCGTCTGTAAAGTGGGTGGGGGAGTGGGGTGCTTCCTCTCATTGGTCATTATGAAGGCCCAGCACTATGCCCGGCCCTGTCTCTCCCTTCCTAAGCCAGGGCATTTGACAGGAGGCAGCGGGCCGGACAGGCCATCCCAGGAGCCTGGCCGGGCCCATGTGTGGGCATCCGCAGCCAAGAGGGCCAGCGGATGGGCGCCAGCAGGTGCTCTGAGCGGAGCACACAGTGTGCCGGGCAGCCAGGCTCCCTGGCCAGCAGTAGCTCCGGGTAGCCTGGGCCTGTGTGGTGCGTGGTCAGTGTGCCCATGCTGGCTGCCCTGATGGACTGGTAGAGTCTCGGCCGACTTCCATGCTGGGCCCCAGATGAGGCGGGTGCTGGTGTGTTTGGCCCCTGTGTTGGGGTCCTGTTGGATTGCTGGGAGCTGCCCGTCCTGGGTCCCCTGGGCTCTGTATGCAGCCAGGCGTGTGTGTGTGGACCCAGGTGTCCACTGCAGCATGGTGCTTGCTGACAGGCTGAGGGAGTCCCTTCTCTGTCAGGTGCAGCCTCCAGGTGGCCACCTGGACGAAGGGAGGACCTGCGTCCTGTTGGAGCAGGGCAGGTGGTTCGGGTTTTCAGATGGGAAGATGGGAAGACTAGGGGTAACTCTTCACATGGGGACTTGGGTAAACAGCCAACAGTGGTCAGCGCTTCATCTTCAGCCTTGGTCTCAATGGAGCAGCACCGATCCCAGAGCTGTTCTTACCCAGAAAGATGAGGTTTTCTGAAAAGCAGAAACAAGGCAGTGTGTTGAGAACCCTCTTAGGAGGCTCACTCGTTCCCATCCTGCTCTTGGGGCAGAGCCTCGGGAGGGAGGAGCCCAGGGGCAGCGCCCAGGGTCCAGGGTCTTGGCTGGGGGTTGGCGAGGGGAGGGTCCCATCCACCTGCTCCTTGTCGCTACAGGTCCTCACATGCTGGATTATGCATCACCCTTGCAGAGAGTTGAACAGAATTGGAGATCTGTTTTTCAAACTAGGGTTTGTTACTGTTCAGGAAAATTTGTAATTTTGAGAGGTTTTTCATGCTATTGTTCCATTTCTGATGCTTTTGGGTCTGATTTAGAAAAACCACTCAGCGTGGCTTACATGTTGCAAGATGTCATTACCCTGCCCAAGCTGGGCATCCCCAGAGCGCCGCTGTCCTTTCTTGGCACATGTTCTTGTGTCCTTATGCCAGGGGGTGGCTTCCACGCCCCTGCGGACGGCTTCCATGCCCCTGCAGACAGAGGAGCAGACAGTCACCCATTGGTGAATCTGCCTCCTCTCCTTGGTTCAGGGCTTTTTATTTTTTAATTTGTTGTGTATTTGGCTGCGCCGAGTCTTTGTTGTGGCACTCAAGATCTTTTAGCTGTGGTGTGTGGGATCTATCCCTGACGAGGGATCGAACCCGGGTCCCTTGCACTGGGAGCACAGAGTCTTACCCACTGGATCACCAGGGAAGTTCCTGGGGCTTTTTTATTATAAGAAATTTTCAAACCTGCAGTGAAGCTTTGAGGCAGGTTCCCGAGGGTTCACCGCCATTGTCCTGCTGCATTGGAGGGAGAGTGTCTGACGCTGTGGTCCTTGGTATGTGACCGTGGGGGCCCGGCTGCAGCACCATCATGCTTCTCGCCCACTCAGCCCTCCTGTCCAGTTTGCTTCTGCCCAGGACCCACTAGGATGGGCCTTGCGATCTGGCGTCTCTGTCTGAGCCTGTCTGCTGGGATCCCCCCACCTGTGGTCCTGAGGGCGAGGGGCTGTCCTGTGGGCATGTGCCTGGTGTGTCTCTTGGCTGGTGCCGGTGGCAGGCTGGGAGCGAGCCCACCTCCCCTCGGAGATGGCAGCTTCGCTCTCATTCGTGGATGAGTCTACTTCTTCCCTCTGTAGTTAATAAATAATCTGTGGGCAGACTTTAGACCCTGGCGGTGTCTGGTCCCCGTGAACTTTCTCCTGGTGGGTTGACTATCCTTCCAGGATGCTGCCTGACCGGCAACAGGCAGCTGGCCTGCTGCTCCTCTCCCGCCTCCCCTCCCCCCACCTCTCCTCTCCCCTCCCCCTTCCTCCTCCCCTCCCTCCTCCTCCGGCTGGTTGGTGTCACCAGATTAGCCCTAGACAGTGCTGCGGTCATTCCTGCCATTATTTGATGCCTCGGTCATCCTCTTTGGGCCACCTGCTAGGGACTCAGTCTCTCCCAGTGGCTTTTCTCTGACCCCCGACACCTGCCTGACGCCCCCACACCTCCCTGCAGCATGTGGCCCATCCCCTCCTGATGTAAGGCAGCTGGTCACTGGGGGTTTAGACACAGATGCAGCCCCTTAATGTGGTCACACCTGCCCCCTAGCAGGAGCCCCCGGGCGGTGGATGGGTTCCAGTCTCAGGGTTGTGTCATGGTGGGGCAGCAGTCGGTGGCTGCTGACAGTAGAGGGTCTCGCTGCCTGTGAAAAGTTGGGCCATTTTCCGCGTCTTGTGGGTCATGGATGAGACCTGAGCTACTTCCCCTGATTTCTGTCCTGGGCCTTCCATGGGCTACATCTGTTGCCATTTCAACTCTGAGCCCAGAGGCTATGTCTGTGCCTCTGTTCTTTCCGCCCTGGATGTGCCCTGCCCTGGGATCACTCATGCTCTTCCTGCCTGGGGTGCTCCCAGGTTCCCATGTAACACATGGGGTCAGGAGGGGAGGGCGCCTGGTGGGCTGCACGCCCTCCAGATACCTGTTACTTCAGTTTGAGGTGAAATGGAGAGGATTGAAAACTGTCCCTTTTTCCATTTTAAAAATGAATATTCTACCTCAAATCTCCGAAAGCTCTGTAAAGTTAAAAAAATAATAATAAGGGTTGATTCATTTTAGCTGCCCTAATAAGAAAGATGTTGTTGTTCAGTCACTAAGTTGTGTCCAACTCTTTGTGACTCCAGACTGCAGCATGCCAGGCTTCCTTGCCTTTCACTATCTCCCGGAGTTTGCTCAGACTTGTGTCCATTGAGTCAGTGATGCCATCTAACCGTCTCATCTTCTGTCACCCCTTCTCCTTCTGCCTTCAGTCTTTTCAAACATCAGGGTCTTTTTCAATGAGTCAGGTCTTCACATCAAGTGACCAAAGTATTGAAGCTTCAACGTGAGTCCTTCCAGTGAATATTCAGGGTTGATTTCCTTTAGGATTGACTGGTTTGATCTCCTTGCTGCCCATGAGACTCTCAATCTTCCCCAGCACCACAATTTGAAAGCATCAGTTCTTGGTGCTTAGCCTTCTTTATGGTCCAGCTGTCACATCCATACAAGACTACTAGGAAAACCAGAGCTTTGAATACGAGTGTCTTGAGAGCAGTAGTCACTGTTCTGGGATGAGGTCCTGCCTTTGGTGTGACCTGATGGTCTGAAGGTCCTCTGGGTCATGGGGGGGGGTGTTGGGGGTCACGATCCCAACAGGTGGCCCAAGGCCTCTGTGGCTGGGAAGGTGACCCCAAGTTCTGGGCCCTGTGCTGGGACACAGCCTCCCAGGGAGCGTGGGTGGAGTCCTTGAAGGCTCCAGTGCTCTGTACCTGCTGAGAGTTTCTGTCTCTGTCAGCTGCTGACCACGGAGTGATGCGAAAGCCTGAATGCAAGGACAGACACCTAAGAGAAGACAGACCCTGAAGACATACTGGGCCATGGCCACCTTGCCCTCCAGTCTTCCCATATAGTCCATGGCCCTCCAGAGAGAACCAAGCCCGTGTCCCCACAGCCCCTCCCAGCTTGAGGCTGGTTCCTTGGTGAGGCCAGTGTTGGGCCAGTGCCAGACTCTTCCAGGAGAACCTGTGGGTCTAGCTATCGGCAGAAGGTTCTAAATACTGAGCCTCACAAGAACATAAGGATGGCCTGATTGGAATGAATGTTTAGGATCTAATGTGATTACAGCTGCGTTGGCCAATCTGTGGGGTACTGTGCACAATGAGTCACAGCCTCATCCATCCCGATTTGCAGACAAGCACCCCGCCAGCACCACCACCACCGCCCACGGTCAGTGAACATGGGCCTCGTGGGGCTGGGGGCCTCAGGTCCTCCCCAGCGAGGCTCCCAAAGCAGCATGTGTGCTTGTTTTCCACGTACCCTGTGTGTATCCCTGCGTCCAGGCCTCCAGGGAGGGGAGAGGGACATTGTGTGTGTGGGTCTGTCTTTAGAAGGGCCCTTCGAGGAGACAGCCTGTGAAGCTGAATTCTCTCAAACCTTCCTGCACACGTGCCTGGTAACCAAGGCTGCCGCCTCCACCAGGGGCCTTGCTTTTATTCCCGAGGACTTGTTCCCAGCGTGCGTGTGTGTAGTCGCTCAGTTGTGTCGACTCTCTGTGACTCCATGGGCTGTAGCCCGCCAGGCTCCTCTGTTCATGGGATCGTGCATTTGTCAGTAAGTGAGCACATACTCCAAGCCTGGGAGTGAGGCGGAGGCTGAGGATGAGGAGGAGCTGGCTCTGGCTGTGCTTCCAGCTGGGTGCCATGTGCAGGCCTGGCCTGCCTGCCGCTTGCGGGGCCCATGGGGGTGGGGGGCGGCGTGTGTGAGCAGCGGGCAGAGCAGGGCCTCCCTGTGGTGCCTTCTGTCGCCTGAGGCCCCAGAGCCATTAGTCGAGGGCCTTGCCCCCACCTTGCCTGGGCGTCAGGTTCTGTGTGGCTCACGTGGAGCTGAGGGACCTTCATTCGGAAGCTGGAGGATATGTGGCCCTGGGAAGCCCAGCATGAGTGGGAAGAAGCCTCATAGCTGCCCGGTGGCGTGAGGGGTACAGAGGGGTGGGGGCGACCCGTCAGCCAAGGCCTTGGCCAGGCGTGGCGCTGGTGGCCCCTGTCTGTCATGGGCTGAAGTGGACCCCCGGGGACTGCTGCTGGGTGGTGCTGCCTTCTGGATGCCTCACACCTGCCCTACTCATCCCCTGCAAGGCCTGCTCTGATGGGGAACCATCCCAGGCCCCATGTACACCCAGCATGCCTGCCACCTTGGCGGTGCCGCCTAGCCCTTGCCATGGGAGGGGACTGTGGACTGTGCTCACTGGATCCCCTCTGCCTCCCGCCACTGCTGTCAAGAGAATGGCTGGAGGTACCAGACCTCCCTGCGCCCTGGGTGACCCCGACAGTGGCAGGGGAGGCCGAGGGCCGTGTGAGCAGCCTTTGGGCTGCAGTCCTGCAGGTCTGAGCGCCTGTGGCCAGGAGCTGTCCTGAACTGTGCTACAGTGTTTCAGGTACCCCAGGCATATTCCTTGGTGGGTCCAGGGGAACTTCTCTGTGTCTCCGAGACTTTCTGAGACACATGGGAGCTTCTCGTCCATCTCTGGATGCTGATTCTGTAGAGTCGGGAGGGCCCGCCATGTTGACTGGGCTGTCATTCTGCGAGGTGCACCTGCTTGGAGTGCTGGCTGGCCTCTTGCCGGCCGCTCTAACCTTAGATGAAGCACCATCCAGCCGTGATGGACTTGTTTCCAGTTTTGGCACTGATGGAAGTGCTGACCCAGGCTCTCCTGCCCATCAGGGAAATACCAGGGTGCAAGAACCCCTTGCAAGGACCACTGCTGTCTGTCTTGTTGTTCTGTCCCTTGAGTCACCCTGTAGTGGAACTGCCTCCTCCCAGGAACGGCCAGACCGAAAGGTCAGGATCCTTGTCGGCTGCTGTCCATTTTGGTTTACGTGGTGCTCAGTCTGGACATGCTGACGTGCACCCTCTGGCTGTCAGACAGCCCTTGTGTGCGCTCCTGCTCGTCACTGTGGCCTCTGGGCGGGAGCGGAGTTAGGACCTTCTGTTTGCTTCTGATGTCCTCAGAGTCTAGGCCAGCCGACTCCGGCTGTGACTCAGCCTTTGCAGGTGGGATCATGATGTCCTGGGTGGGCACGGCCATGGCGGCTCTTCTTCCTCCAGATGCCCTGTCCCCATGGGGGGCACAGGTGGGACCTTTAGCCCCTTGCTGCCCGGTAAGGCCCACTTTATCAAGTGGTAGGACGTGTAGGCTTGTACCCCCACTCCCCAGGCACACGGACATCATTTCTTCATCTGCCTGGGGTTTGAGGGTTTGATATTTATTTTTACCATTACACAGGTATCCTCTTATAGCTAAAGGGCAGAAGGCCCAAACTCAGTGTCCCTGTCATGTCTTCCCCACTTGGCATTAGGCAGGGGCTTCCTGTGCTTCACAGCTTATCCTCTGTTGACTGCATGTTTCTCAGTCACCTCCAGGCCTGCCCAAGCCTGTGTGTCTCAGGTCTGGATAAATCGACCCTTCATGCTGACCACTGTGACTGTGGGACTGTTTACCCTGAGCTGGTGGACAGTTCTGATCTCACTTCCTGTCTACTCTAGGTCCCGTGTTCTGACCTCCCTTCTTGTCTGCTCTGCGTCCTCCATCCTGGCAGGGCCCCTGGTTCTGACCTGTCTGCTCTAGGTCCTGCATTCTGACCTCACTTCCTGTCTGCTCTGTTTTCTACATCCTGACATCACTTCCTGTCTGTCTGTTGTGTGTCTTGGGTTGGTCAGTCACTGTTTTCCTGCTCCCGTCGGTGCTATCCCCTCTCGGAGGCCGAGGTGCTGGACTTGGTGTGTGCCCTGCCTCTTCCTCCTGAGCCCAGCATCCGACAGGTGGCTATGCAGGCCTGGTGTGGGTGCCTGCCCCTTTTGGGGTGCCTGGTGGCATGTCCCAGATGTTGGTCCACTGCTCTCCGGTGACCTGGAGAGCCTTCTGACTGGATGTCGGCCTCTCTGTCTCTTGGTGTCACTTTCTGGAGATTTCTTCCAGTTTACTGTCATGTTCATTTTCATTTTATTTCTAATTTTTATATTTTAAGTTTATTTTTGGTTGTGCTGGGTCTTCATTGCTGTGCAGGGGCTGTCTAGTTGCGGTAAGTAGTGGCTACTCTCTAGTTGCTGGGCGAGGGCTTCTCATTGTGAGAGTTCTCATCACAGAGCCCAGGTTCGTTGTGGCTCATGGGCTTAGTTGCTTCTAACATGTGGGATATCCCCAGATTAGGGATCGAACCGATGTCCGCTGCGTTGGTGGGCGGATTCTTAACCACTGGACTACCAGGGAAGTCCTGTGGTGTTCATCTGTAATACTTCTTTTGTTGCTGTTGTTTCTTCTGTAAAAGTACTCACCTGTTCTGTTCCATGGCTTGTCTCCTAGCCCCAGGGGTATTGGCTGTGGTTTCCTCTGAAGTCAGCTTTCAGGTCCTGCTTTTCCCTCGATGGTGGTTCTTGACCATATGGTTTTATCATGGGGAAGCGTAGTGGGCAGCAGGGCGGGGCAGGGCCGGGCACTTAGAGTCCACTGAACTGTTTCTCAGGCACGCTTGCAGATGAACCCCTGGTGATGTTCTCGAGAAACGTCCTCCTGTGGTCGCAGGCGCCTGCATCCTGTGCCTGTCCACGCGGTCCCTGGTCCTTCTCTGTGCTGCCCGCCCAGTCCCCTCCCACCCCCATGTGTGCCTTTGCTGGAGAGTGGGGGCTTTGGCAGTTTCTGAGAGGAGAGCAGGGTTGAAGTATCTTTGTTCTTCCATCTTGAAATGAATTTTCTTTCGTTAGCATTTTAATTATTCTGTCTTGATGTGTTTCTCTGAATTTGTAGAGGGTTTTGGCATTTTAAGCATTCAGGAAGGAAGGGCATAAAGAGCTGCTTTAAAAAGGAGGATGCGTTGTTGCCAGTTATTTGTGATCTTAACCAGAAGTAACCTTCAAATAAGCAAGATTTATTTTCTCAAAGTGTTTTATTTCTTGCTAGTGTGTGTGCATGTGTGTGCACGTGTGTGCGCGCGTGTCCACACAGGGTTCACTGCCATTGAAGGTCTCACACTAAGCGTCTCTGGCTGAGTGTGGTCTTGACTGATGTTTGGACAAATGACTCAGACCCCTTATTCTAAGACTTAATCATCCCTGAAGGATGACTAAGTTCCAGATCCTGCCGAGCAGAGTGCAGTCAAGGGAGAATGTGAACCAGGACAATTTTAGAACTGCTTTTTAAAAATGGGTTGAAAACTCTTTGTCAAGAAGCGAAAAGAACCAGCAGGAGCTGGTTAGTAATAGAGGTTTGTCAGGACGAATCTCGTTTTCTTTTCTCTCTCTTTTTTTTTTTTTTTGAAATTTTCTCCCTTGGTTATTCTAAGTCAGCACACGTGTTTTATCACAGACTGCCCCAGACCTTGGCTCTCCTCTGTGGACCGTGGTATGCAGCTGTAACGTGCTCATTCTTGGCTCTGGATCAGTCCCTCTGTCTTGCTGGTTTTCTAGGGCAGAGGTTCTAAAGCTTGAGCTTCAGAATTCTTCAGTGATGAGCCTGTGGGTTCCACCCTGGAGCTTCAGATTCCTGGGTCTGGGGTGGGTGCTGAGACTTTGCATTTCTAACAAGTTCCCAGGTGAGGCTGCCGCTGGGCCCCCCCACCCCGGCCCCGGAAGAAGCCCTGGGCCGAGGCCAGCCCCCACTGTCTGTGTAGATAAAGCTGTATCTACTCGCGCCTCGCCCCTGGCGTCCACTTGGCCTGTGGCTGCTTTTGTGGGAGTCTGGAGCAGCTGGAGTGAGAATGCACACCCTGAAAAGCCAAAAAAAAAAAAAAAAAAGCCAAAAAGACAGTTTGTCCTTTGCAGGGAGTACGTGCTGGTTCTGATCTGGACAAAGAAATGACTTGAATGCATGGTGACGGCATTTTTGTGAATCTTTTTGGGACAGAAAAGGGTGTGTTTGGGATCGACCTCAGAAGAAATGGCGGCATGTGCTGCTCGTGTACACATGTCACTGACCTGTGGGGGTTGTTTCAAGCCGTGGAACAAACGAGTCCTGGAATATAAAGGCTCCGGTTGGGATAATTGCTGTATAGTTATTTTAAAGGCAGCTTTTTAAAGGTATAATTAACATAATAAGCTGTGCACATTTAAAACATACAGTTTGATAACGTTGACGAGTGTGTACACACGTGAAGCCGTTGCTGCAGTCGAGGAGGAGGAGCTGTCCCTCACCCGCAGGGTGTCCCGTGCCCCTCGGTCCCTCCCCACCCCCACCCCAAACAGCTGCCAAGCCAGCTTCCTTCGCTCTAGATGGGTTTCCTTGTCTAGAGCTTTATGGGAAGGAAATCTTTTTTTTTTTTTGGAGGGTCTCATTTCTTCCACTCAGCACAATTATCTCAAGATTCTTCTGTGTAGCTGTGTTAGTGCTTGGTTTGTTTTGTTTTTGGCCCGCTGTAGGAATTGCCATGGTTTGTTTCTTCATTCACCTGTGGACTGATGGGATCCTTCCCAGTTCTTGGCTGTTACTCACAAAGCTGCCGTGAACACTCCTTGTGAGTTTTGTTGGGACACACACATCTCACTCCCTTGTAGACACCTCGATGTGAATGGCTGTGTCCTGTGTGTGCAGGTTGGCTTTTCTGGAATTGCTGAGCTGGCCTAGGCATCCCCGTCGGCTCCCGCGTCCTCACCAGCACTGTTGCTCTCTTTGGGTTCAGTTCTTTTAACAGGTGTGGAGAGATATCTCTCCTTGTGGTTTTAAGTTGCATTTCCCTAATGACTAATGGCTTTGGACATCTTTTCATGGGCCTATTTGCCGTTATCTATGTACTATGGTGAAGTGTCTCTTGAAGTTTTTGTCTGTTATTTGAGTGGAGTTGTTATTGGTGAATTTTGAGAATTCTATATGTATTCCGAATGCAAGTCCCTTTTCACATTTATGCTTTGCAAAGCTTTCTCCCTGTCTGTGGCTTTCTTTTTTTGCTCTTTTGAAGAGTAGAATTTGAACGTTTTCATCAACTCCAGTGTATTGATTGGTTCTTTTAGATTGGAGTTTTGATGTTCTAGATGAGAAATCTTCTCTGATGCAAGGTCACAAAGGTGTTTCTCTTCTGTTTTCTTCTAGAAATTTTGTAGCTTGAAAATTTACATTTGATGCAAGGTCCGCATCCAAGTTCACATTTTTGCATGTGGATGACTGTTCCAGTCCTGTTTGTCATAGAGACTATACTCTCCTAATTGTGTTATCTTTGCACTTTTGTCAAAAATCAGTTGTGTGTGTGAGTTTATTTCTGGACTGTATTTTGTTCATTTGTAGTCGATGTGTCTGTATCAATGCTGTGCTGTTTTTGCTTATTATAGCTTTATAGTTCTTGAAATCAGGTGACATTAGCTCTCCAACTCTGTTCCTTTTCAGAGTTGTTGTGGCTGTTTTAGGTCCTCTGAATTTCTATGTGAATTTTAGAATCAGTTTGTCAATTTCTATGAAAAACATCTTGCTGAAATTTTGATTGGGATTGAATTGAGTTACAGGTAACTTGGGAAGAACTGAGATTTTAAAACTTTTTCATTTCCATCTCCTAGTCAGGTTACATTGCTGCATTTATTTACGTTGTTCTTTGTTTCTCTCAGTAGTATTTTGTGGTTTTCAGGGCATAGGTCTTTGATGCCTTTTGTCAGATTGATTGACTTATCTCTAAGCTTTCTCTTTTTCTTTTTTGGTGTTATTGTGATGATTATTGGTGTTTTGAAATCAACCTACTTGACCATATTAAAGGAGAAATATTGCATGATCATCTCAGTTGATCCAAGAGTATCTGATAAAACTGTTCATCAAATTGGGCTTCCCAGGTGGTGCTAGTGGTAAATAACCCATCTGCCAATGCAGGAGACATAAGAGACACTAGTTTGATCCCTAGGTTGGGAAGATCCCCTGGAGGGGGGCATGGCAAACCCTCTCCAGTATTCTTGGCTGGAAAATCTCATGGACAGAGAAGCCTGGTGGGCTACAGTCCATAGGGTCGCAAAGAGTCAGACATGACTGAGGCGACCTAGCACACATGTACCATCAAATTAATGGTGCAGACTCTTGTCAAATTAGAACTAGAATTTTGTTTCCTAATAAAGGGGGTTTACCAAATATCTATAGCAAATAGTTGCCATAATTAACACTGAAATGTTAAAATCATCCTTTTTTAAAAAGCCTTTTTATTTTGTGTTGGAGTATAGCCGATTAACAATGTTGTGATAGTTTCAGGTGCAGAGCAGAGGGACTCAGCCATACTTATGCATGTATCCATTGTCCCCCAAACTCCTCTCCCATCCAGGCTGCCACATAACATGGAGCAGAGTTCCCAGTGCTGTACAGTAGGTCCTTGTTAATTACCCATTTTAAATAGAGCAGTGTGTACATGTACCTTTTTTTTTAAAAAAAATCATTTCCTGATTATAAGTTGCTGGTATAATTGATTTTTGTATATTGATTTTGCATCTTGCAACTCCTTCTAGTAGCCTTTTTATAGATCCCTCAGGGTTTCCATCTGTGAGTAAAGACAGTGTTACTTCCTCTCTGACTTGGACGCCTTTTCTTTGTCTTGCCTGATTGCACTGGCTGGAGCCTCCAGTGTTCTGAGAGCAGACAGCCCTGCTGCTGGCCTTGGGGGAGGCGTGATGTCTCACTGTCAGGCATGCTGTTAATAGGTTGCTGGGTTTTGTAGACGCTCTTCAGGAGACTGGAGAAGTTCCTGCAGTTCTGTCCTTTATTTTGGCCGGGAATGGATGTTGGGTTTTGTTCAGTGCTTTTTTTTTTCTTTGCATTTATTCATATTATTAACATGGTGAATATCTTTTTAGTTTATTAATATGGCAAGTTGCACTGGCTAATTCTTGAATCCAATGAACCTTTCGTTCCCAGGATAAACCTCCCTGGTCGTGGTGTCTCATACTTTTAGAATGTTGTTGAGTTTGACTTGATAAAATTTCATTTATAGTTTTTCCAATTGTGTTCATTATGAACATTTGGCTGTAGTTTGTTTTTTTTCTTCTTGTAATAGTCTGGTTTTTATATCAGAGAAATGTTGGATTCACATAATTATTTGGGAAGTATTCCCTCCATAAACTTTCTGAAAGAACTAGTAATTCTTTTAGAAATACTTGGTAGCATGTATTTTTGAAGCCTATTTAGGTTTGGAGGGTTTTTTTTTTTTTGTGGGAAGTTTTTTAACTATTCAGATTATTTATTCTTGGTTGAGAGGTTTTTTGTTTGTTTTTTAATGAGTAATTGCCCAGTTCATTTGAATTGTCAAATTTATTGGCATGGGCTGTTGACAGTGTTTTCCTGTTGCCCTTTCATAGTTGTAGAATTCAGGGCAATGGCCCCTCTCATATTCCTGATGCTGATCAGTTTTCTTTTTTTATTTTCCTGATCAGTCTGCGTAGAGGTTTATCAGTGTTACTGGTCTTCTCAAAGGACCAGTTTGGGTTCACTGTTTTCTTCTGTTATTTTTCTGCTGTCTGTTTGTATTGATCTTTGTTTTAGTTTTTATATTTCCCTTTCTTTGACTTGCTTTGTGTTAAGTTTGTCCTTTTTTTAGTTTTATATGGTGGATGTGGAGCCATTTGTTTGTGACCTTTCTTTTCTTTTTTTTTGTGATCTAAATGTTTGGTTTTCTCCTGAGTCCTGTTTTAAGGGAATTGCACATATTCTGATGCATTGTTTTCATTTTCATTCTGTTTAAAGCTCTTCTAATTACTTTTCAAAGTCATCTAAATAATGAGAGGAATCAATATATTTATGTATGTGGTAATTGTTTCTTGCTCTGCTCTTCCTTTGTGTAAACACAAGTTTCCATCCGGGGGTGTTTTTCTTCTGCTAGAAGGATGTCCTTCCACATTCTTTGTTGGTATAGGACAGCTGGTGATGAGTTTCTGTATGTATAAAGCGTATTTACTTCCGCCTCTTTTTTTGAAAGATATTTGCAGTGGGTGTAGAATTCTAGGTTGATAGTTTTTTTCCAAGAAGAGGTGGCAAGAATACACAGAAGAACTATACAAAACAGATCTTAATGACCCAGATAATCACGATGTGATCACCCACCTAGAGCCAGACATCCTGGAATGCAAAGTCAAGTGGGCCTTAGGAAGCATCGCTACAAACAATAGTGGAGGTGATGGAATTCCAGCTGAACTATTTCAAATCCTAAAAGATGATGCTGTGAAAGTGCTGCAGGCAATATGCCAGCAAATTTGGAAAACTCAGCAGTGGCCCCCAGACTGGAAAAGGTCAGTTTTCATTCCAATCCCAAAGAAAGGCGATGCTAAAGAATGTTCAAACTACTGCACAATTTGCACTTACCTCACACGCCAGCAAAGTAATGCTCAAAATTCTCCAAGCGAGGCTTCAACAGTTTGTGAACCGAGAACTTCCAGACTTTAAAGGTGGATTTAGAAAAGGCAGAGGAACCAGAGATCAAATTGCCAACATCTGCTAGATCATAGAAAAAGCAAGAGAATTCCAGAAAGACATCTACTTCTGCTTCATTGACTGCACTAAAGCCTTTGACTCTGGATCACAACAAGCTGTGGAAAATTCTTAAAGATTTGGGAATACCAGACCACCTGATCTGCCTCCTGTGAAATCTGTATGCAAGACAAGAAGCTACAGTTAGAACTGGACATGGAACAACAGACTGGTTCCAAATTGGGAAAGGAGTATGTCAAGGCTGTATATTGCCACCCTGCTTATATAACTTATATGCAGAGTACATCATGCGAAATGCCAGGCTGGATGAAGCATAAGCTGGAATCAAGATTGCTGGGAGAAATATTAATAACCTCAGATATGCAGATGATACCATCCTTATGGCAGAAAATGAAGAGGAACTAAAGAGCCTCTTGATGGAGGAGAGTGAAAAAGCTGGCTTAAAACTCAACATTCACAAAACAAAGATAATGGCATCTGGTCCCATCACTTCATGGCAAATAGATGAGGAGATAGTGACAGACTTATAAAGAAGGCTGAGCACTGAAGAACTGATGCTTTTGAACTGTGGTGTTGGAGAAGACTCTTGAGAGTTCCTTGGACAACGAGGAGATCAAACCAGTCAATCCTAAAGGAAATCAGTCCTGAATATTCATTGGAAGGACTGATGCTGAAGCTCCAATACTTTGGCTTCCTGATTAGAAGAGCCCACTCATTAGAAAAGACTGTTGTTGAGAAAGATTGAAGGCAAGTATTGAGGGTACAGTAGAAGACGAGATGGTTGGATGGCATCACCAACTCAATGGACGTGAGTTTGACAAAGCTCTGGGAGATGGTGAAGGACAGGGAGGCCTGGCATGCTACAGTCCATGGGGTCGCAAAGAATCATACACAGCTGATCGACTGAACAACAACAACTTTGAAAATACTGATATGCTGTGGTTCTTCATTCCTCTTTCTGGGATATCTTTATGATTTTCATTTTTATTAGCCACTTTCCAGGTAGTGCTAGTGGTAAAGAACTCACCTGCCAGTGCAGGTAGATGTAAGAAATGTGGGTTCGATCCCTGGGTTGGGAAGATCCCCTGGAGGTGGGCACGGTAACCCGTTCCAGCATTCTTGCCTGGAGAATGCCATGGACAGAGGAGCCTGGTGGACTACGGTCCATTGGGTTGCAGAGTTGGACTTGATTGAAGCGACTTGGGATGCACGCACACATGCACTGCTTTTGAGCATCTTGATTTTGATGCACTTTGCTGTAGCTTTCTTTAGATTGCATGTGTTTGGGGTTTATTGAGCTTTTGGGGCTCGTAGTTTTGAAGTTTGGAGGGTTTCTGGTCAGTGTTTCTGAAGACTTTCTGCTCCCCCACCGCCTGTGGGAACTCCAGGCACCCATTGAGTCACTGTTTGAAGTAGCCCAGCGCAGGGGTGCTCTTCCCCTCCCTTGTCCTTGCTCTCTGTTCTGTTCTGAGTAGTTTGTCACCAGCCCCTCGGGGTCACCTGTGTCCCCTCAGCACGTCTGCTCTGCCAGACCATCCAGTGTTGTCTTCATCTCGTGGGCGCTTGACTTCACAGACCTTCTGCATCTCTGTTTAACTCCTTGAATGTGTGGAGTTTGGCCTCAGTACATGTGTGCCTTGGAGGGTTCATGAATCTCCTTGTGGTGGCTCATGTTTTCCTGCTTCCTTGGCTGTAGACGTGCTGATGCCAAGTGTCCTGAATTCTTGTGAATCTCCTCCGGCTTTATCCTGGGTCACTTACTCTGAGGCAGTTTAATTCTTACAGGTCTTGCTTCTTTGTTTTGGTAGGTCACTCCACCCTGTCCCCTCGAGTACTTCTGGTGGGTGTTTCCCAGCCTCAGGCAGTCCTCACACACTTGTGTGAAGGGGCTCCTTCAGGTCCCCCTGGACCATCAGCTGTGTCTCTGATTCTAGGGCCTTGGGCCCCACCTGGATCCCCTCCCTGCACTGCTGCCTGGGGACTCAAGGCAGTGGGCTGGGTGGCTGGGAGCTCCCCATGAGAGCTTCTGCATCTGGGGTCACTGTCCTCGGTCGCCTGATGTCCAGTGCCATGAGGGCGATTGTCTCCTGGATCTTGTCTGAGTTTTAGCTGGATGTTGGAGGGGGTGATTAGTCCCTTTGATGCCATTTGGGCCACAGGTGCGTCCTCTCCCCATGGTGTGGTTACTGCCCCCAAGTTGGCTTCCAGCTTGTCTAATCAGGCTCTCTTTTCATAAACAGCATTAGAAAAATGAGATCGAGAGTTTAAAATTGCCATTGTCTCACCTGATGCTGGCATCTGCATCCGGGAGGCTTCCCTGCCCCGGGGAGCCCTGGTGGGGGACAGCCTGGTGCCACCAGAACCCATAAAAAGCAAAAACGACTGGAGACTGGAGTAACAGAGCCTCGGGTCATCTCGACTGCAGGAAGGAGGGGAGCATGTCCAGCTCTGAGGTAGAAGGTTTTGAAAGCTCTCTGAATTGTGCTGACTGGCATGTCCATTGTGAGCAGATATGTTTTCCTTTCTGCAGTAATTTTGGCTACATTAGATTCGTTTTTGTTAACATCTTCATTACTGCCTTTTCAATTTTAGTCAGAATTGATTATGAACAAAGTGCCGTGATTTTGACTATTCAGAGTAGCAGCTGTGTGGAGCCAGCACTTAACCAGCCTAGTGACAGACTTGTGTCCACACACTCCCATGGCGGCTGCGCGAACGGGCTCATGTCCACATGCTCCCGTAGCGCCTATGAGAAGGGGGACGTCCTGTCCACGCACTCCCCTGTTGACTGCACGAACAGGCTCGTGTCCGCACGTTTTTTATGGCGCCTACCAGAAGGGGCTTGTGTCTGCACGTCCCCCTGGTGGACCCCCCCCCCAACCCCAGAAGGGGCAGTGCTTATAGTTGAGGCCTTGGCCACTGAGGAAGGGGGTTATCAGCTGCCACTCACTTGAGCTTGAGCAGAGGCAGAGTTGAAAGTCCTGAATTTCAGACACTCCCAGGCGGTGTGGTCCCTTTCAGAGGAGGAGGTGTACGCTGGTGACCGTCTGGATGGAGCAGGGCTGTGGACAGTGCCTCTGTGCCCTCGTGTCCTCACCCTAGAACACCACATCTGCCCAGACCCTTCCTTTAGGTCTAGAGGCACAGTCAGTAGTTTTGGGGTCCAGCCAGGCCATGGGGAAGCCGTATTCTCCTGAGACTCTGAGGGGGAGGGGCTCAGGCCAGAAGGTCAGCACTGTGCTGTGGTCTCGCTGGGGGAGGGGCTGCACATCTGTGCCCGCGGTGGGCCCTGGGCATCCAGTCACGGTGGGAGAGGGTCATGGGCCTCCTGCATCCAGTGCCCCCTACCCTGTGTCTGCCCAGAGGTGCATTGGAGAGGCTTCACCAGGCAGCTTGAGCTCTGGGGCCAAGGGGTCCGGCTGCTGTGGTGGCCTGGGCGCCAGGTGGGGAGCCCCTTGGCAGGGGTCACTCTCCCTGGACGCCCATCCCCTGGTGCCTGGCTCAGGCCCAGGGCCCCGGCTCAGTGTTTTGCACAGCAGGACCTCAGCCCTGCTGGGTTCAGGGTGGGCTGAGGCCCCGGGGCACCCGATGAGTGGAGGGTCTCTGAGGGGTGGAGGTGGGGGGAGGTGCTGCCATGGCTTGGTTGCCAAGGGCGTTTTCCTTCCTGAGTCAGGAAGGCCCCTCGAGGGCACATGACTGCCTGGAAAGTTGTGTCCAGGGCACAGGGCCCAATGTGCTGAGCTGACCACAGGGCAGCCGTGAAACAGGAGGCTGGGAATGCTGGTGGAGACAGGGAAGGAGGGAAGGAGGCAGGGCCAGCTGAGACCCCAACCCTGCGCAGACTTCTCCTAGCTGCCGCAGGCCCCCGAGTGACTGGAGGGCCATCTGAGCCATATTTAACATTGTTTCCAGGGGTGGAAAAGAAAGCTTGAGTGCTGAAGAATAGATGCTATTGAACTGTGGTGTTGGAGAAGACTCTTGAAGAGTCCCTTGGATTGCAAGGAGATCAAACCAGTCCATCCTGAAAGAAATCAATCCTGAATATTCATTGGAAGGACCAATGTTGTAGTTGAAACTCCAGCACTTTGGCCATCTGATAAAAAGAACTGACTCATTTGAAAAGACCCTGATGTTGGGAAAGATTGAGGGTGGGAGGAGAAGGGGACGACAGGATGAGATGGTTGGATGGCATCACCGACTCAATGGACATGAGTTTGAGTAAACTCCAGGAGTTGGTGATGGACAGGGAGGCTTGGCGTGCTGCAGTCCATGCGGTTGCAGAGTCAGACACAACTGAGTGACTCAACTGAACTGAACCAGGGGTAGGGGTGAGGTTCCCTGCCCAGTTTAGAGCATGATCCTGCCCCTGGTCCTGGGGTATCAAACCTAATTTAATTTGCTCATGAAGGCTGCAGAGCAGAAGGGTCGAGGGGTGTTGGGCGAACACGTGGAGGGGGAGGCCTGGGAAGCTGCACTCACCCACTTGGGACCCCCTCGGTTCTGGCTCAGGGGTCCCTTCATGCTGGGCCCTCAGTGTGGCAGTGCTATTGGGGATTCTGGATGAGTGTGGTCCATTTGGGACCTGCTGTGATATCCGGCGTGTCCTTCTGGACAGCAGGTCCCCAAGAGCCATTGCCTGCAAGTCCTCCACAGGCCATGGGGCTGTTTAGGATGACGCCAGGTCTCACATGGGTGGTCGATGACCTGGAGGAGGAGCAGCAGTGAGTGCTAGGGCTCCCAGCCTTGCCCCCAGGAGAGGACCAGGCTCCAGGGGTATCTGGTCTCTGGGATGACTATGTGCTGCTTGTCCTCAACCCCTAGGAGAAGGGGTCACTGTATTGATGGTGCCTGACTTCCGCCTGGCCTGGGCTGAGGGAGCCACCGTGTCAGGGTGGGGGTGAGGGTTAGTCTGCACACGGAGTCCTGGGTGTCTTGCCGTTTCCACTCCCACGGCCGTGCCTGGAGAGGTGGCCTGGCATGGGAGTGCCGTCAGGCAGGCTCTGAGCAGTGGGGCCTGTGCCTCTTCCTACCCTTTTCCCACTGGCGGGCTGGCTTCTTTTCGGTTCTCACACAGCAGGTCTAGGAGACACTGGCTCATCATCCTGAGGCCAGAGCTGGATGGAACCCTGGTGACCTTCGCTGGCCCCTCCCAGGTGGGGGTGTAGCCGCAGGTCCTTGCTGAGGTCAGGCAGTCGCAGTGACTGAGGAGGCCTGCGGGCCCTGGGCCGCCATCTGGCGATTGTAAAATGGGCCCTCCGGGGTTCTGGAGTGGGGATGGTGGTGTCGCCCCTCCCCTCCCCCTGCCGCGGGCAGACACCTCTGAGCCCTGCTCTCTGGTGTCTGTGCTGAGGGTGAAAAGTTCAGGCCACCAGCCCTAGGGATGGGGGTGGGGCAGCACCACGCCTGCTCTCCGCCTGGGCCCTGGACTCCTCGCAGGCGGGGCAGTTTCAGGACCCACAGACATGTCCCGCCTGCTCTCCACACCCCCCCCCCCCCCCCGGGACCAGCCAAGGTCCAGAGTGGGTGCCAGGAGTTTGGGCACCAGGGACGTGCTTTCCTGTGTGGTCAGCCTTCCGGCTGCCCCATGACTCTGGGTGGAGGGCACCCACCCCCTGTAGGGGCTTTTAGTTGGCCCCTATCCTGTGTTCTGTCGCCCAGTTCTCGGGGAATGAGGGGCTGATCTGGGTACTTGGAGCCACGGGACCCTCGGCTCAAAGGCCTGGTGCTGCCAACTGAGACCCAGATGCTGCTTTGTGCTGAGCGTGTCCTGCCCACGGGAACCTTTGTTCCTCTGGGCCTGCCAGTGCCTGGTCCCCTCTGCCCACAGGACCTCTGGGCTGAGATTCAGCCCTTGTCCTCAAGGCTCCTGGTGGCTGCCTGTACCATGGGGACTTGGGGGACCCTGGGGTGCCCCTCCTCCCGTCCGGGCCATTGCTGAAGGGCCAGGAGGCACTGATGACCTTTGTGCAGATGGCCTGAGAGGATGATGCCGGGGGAAGGCCTACCCAGCTTACAGAAGTGTCTTCTGGGAAAGGGGACTTGGTCCCCCAAACAGCGTCCTGGGGACAAGCGCTGGGATGGGTGTGCCAGCCCCATGGGCTTGTGTCTTCTCCCCAGGGGCACTGGCCCCCATGGGCAGGTGCAGGGCCAGCCGGCCCCTCCGGGGAGAGGCGCCCCACCCCCAGTGCTCTCTAGCAGCCCGGCCCTGTGGAGAGGCCAGGTCGAAAGGTCACTGCCCTGATTCTTACGCCATGTCGTGTGTTCTCACGACCCCTCGCCCTCTGCACAGACAGCTTTTCAGGGGCTGAAAGGCCTGGATTGTAGCTCCCAAAGTGAAACGTTTTAGTAGCTGCAAAATGGGGTTAAAACTGAGAAAACACACACACACACACACACACACACACACACACACACAAATTGTAGCTCCCAAAGTGAAACGTTTTAGTAGCTGCAAAATGGGGTTAAAACTGAGAAAACACACACACACACACACACACACACACACACACTGAGAAAACACACACACTGAGAAAACACACACACACACACACACACACACACACACACACACACACACACACACACACACACACACACACACACGTCTCCGTTTAGGACAAAGAGAAGCCAGGACGGCTTGGGACGACACCACCTGCTAAAGCAGAGTGAGGTGGGAAGGCCGGGTCGGGGGCCGCACCAGGAGCTTGTCCAGATGTGCGGGGTGAGAGGGCCCGGCTCGAGAAAGGCCTCCGGGACGTGCCTGAAACCAGGGCGAGTGGGCAAACTGGTGTTTTTGCATGGTGACCACTCTGCCGCTGTGTCCTCTTGGTATCGCCCTTGACGTAGCTCCATGTTGTGCCAAGCCCAAGACTCCCTGCTTTTCTGGCTTCCGTCCACACGTGTCTCCGCAGTGTGGGACCCTCACCTCCCTGGAGCGGGTGAGGTGTGCTGCTCCCAGGATGACCCTGGTTCCTTTCTGAACCAAGTCATCACTCTGCTCGTGGCCAAGGTGACAGGGGCCTGGGTCTCAGGTCTGGGGAGTGCCCACTGACTTCTCCTCTGAGGGGACTTGGATTACATGGCTGAGAGTGTGCCAGGCCTGGGCATCAGGGCAAGTGGCCTTGGAGGCGGGCACGGTAGGTAGCCTTCAGGGGATGAGGTGCTGAGGGTCCTGGAGGGCAGGGTGGATGGGGCCCTCCCCTCCTGCCCTGCCCAACCCCCAGCTCTGTCCCTCATTCTCCCTGTCACTGGGGGCAGGGAAGTGGTTCCAGGATGGAAAGACTCATGTGTTTGGGGAAGCCTCCCTTTCACATCTGTTCCGGTCTCTTCTGTGGCTTTCCAGGCATTTGTGCAGTGAAACCTGCACGCCCTCCCTGCTCTCGCACCTTTCACATACTCACGTCCACCCGGGGGCTCCACATCCACATCCCGGCCACATGCTCCGTGTTTCTAGAAGTGGGAGTCCAGTTGGGACCCAGGGTATGAGGGACGGCAAGGTGAACACACTGGGATGGTTCCAGGAGGATGCGGTAATGGGATTTCAGTCTTGTCCCCTCTCCACAT